GCGGTTCTGCAGGAAAATTCGAAGCTCCCGCCGCTTCTTGCTGCGTTCGCTGTTGACCTGCCGGATCTCGTTGAGGGTACCCGTAAGGATGGACAACGCTGATCCGATCACCAGCACCGTGATCACAAACAGGGTCAGCACCTTAAGTGGTTAATCGTCTTCCAAAGCGACAGAAACTACTGGAAGGTGTGATGACATCTGCAACGACATGTCTTGCTATGTTGTTTGCGTGACAGGCAGGGGTCCTTTGGAGCAGACATCTAACACGCGTTCCATCATGGTGCCGCACTACGTAGTCGCAGCATTGATGAAACAGTTCCATACCGGAAAGTGCTCTTGGGCTGTTACTGTTTCCACACTGGTCAATTGGAAAGGGCATAGTTCCCTAACGTGCAAAACTGCTCTGTGACTCATCCATTCCAGCATTCTCTGCTGTCTGCCTTTGAGCTCAACACTAGCCTGATAGCACTTCGCAGGTACTTTGGGATGGGTTGCCTATTGAGGCCTGTGTACTTATTTGATACTGAATACCGGAAACGTGACAAGTGAGTGGTCATTTTGGTGGACGAACGCTTCTGTAATTTACTGCTTCTGTGTTTTTGAGAAGTCTGCAGACGGCTTCGGCGATTCCGTCTGCCTTGCCAGTCGCGGGCGTGCATGATGGCTACAAATTCATGCATGGAGGGTCAGGAATACAGGGTTCCAGGGTTATAGGTTTTCCCTATATGGTGCCAACATAGCCAGCATATTAATATGAGCCAATGTAGATCCCCAGGGTTCCTTTGTACCAAGGGTACAATCTTAGGGGTAAAGCCTTGAAATGCTTGGAATAAGTTTCCAGAAAAAATGGGAAACCTAAGCCAGCATGCGTGTAGAGCATAATGGAGGCCCGGCCACCCTGAACGGCCTGCAATTCTGCAATTCTTGCAAAATCCTAGCGTAAGGCTCCAACAGCCAGGTGCTCGATCCCACTGGTGGGATCCAAAGGGGGAGGAGCAGGCGGAAGTAAGATCCAGAAGAGCGAATGGATGTACTGGATCTCAAAAGACTCCGTGTCGATTTTGGCGATGTTGAGCCAGCTGTTCCCCGTTGCAGCGGATATGCTGTCACCCAACCCAAACCAGATACACGCAAGAATGTGCGCAACGGCCCCAATGGCAACCAGCATCTTACCCACTGTAAAGCCAAGGATGAGCCATTGCCGCCCCATTGATATGACCAAATTCTCGAGAAGGACATTGATCTTGCCCGCTTTGAGAATGCGGAGAATGCGAATTGTTCGCAAAATCCGCAGATACCGGGCAGACCGCAGCGGCTGCAAGAAATCTGCTGACGTGGATTCCGCTACCTGTCCAATGCACAACAACATCCAAGCTCTTGCACGTCAACCTACAAGCTAGTATTAGAGACCCGGGCTATCGGCAGGTCTTGAGAACAGTAATTATCGGCCGTTTGTGCACAGTTGCCTTCCCCAAGAAGCCTGCGGCAAAGTCCACGGCAACCACGCATATGTCAAAGGCTAGCCAAGATTTTGCGTAGTGCTTGGCAATCTCGCAGCGCGAAGTTTCGATAAAGCCGCGAACATAAAACGCGGTGTTGAAATTCACCACGATATCCAAGGGCCAGAAAACTAAGGATGCAATTGCAAACATTTGGAGAACTCTACTGCCCACCCCTGTGGAGTCAGGCACTGGGGTTACCTCCCACTGGCTCCAAGCCATAGTCATTGGAAGGAGGAAAGCATCCAGCACAATCAGGAGGACGCCTATGAGATCCCACACCAAGCGGAAGGTAGAATTAGGAGGGAACACCTTCAACACGGACTCGAAGGCCTGAAGCTCTGTGCTTAGCCGGAGAGTCCTTGCCTGTGGACTGTTAGAGTTGAGAGGCGCTATCATGCCACTTCGCATGCGCTCTTTCTTGAGAGCATGTACAGATGACGCAGCTCGCATGGAAAGCTCCATGAGGTGCGAATTTAGGCGCATGTTCGAATGAGCTGCGCCTAACATCTCCGCGGAGAGATATAGCGCATCACCGGAAAGAGGATGGTGCCCTTGCTCTTGGGGGATGGACACTACATCGTCTTTCAGTAGCCAGTCCCCCAGCGAGTCCTTTGCTAGAAAACTTTGTCCTGCAGACGCCGCCTGAACTGCATCAGTCTGGTCTTTCACTTCTGAGCCAGCGTCTTCACGCAAGAGTCTAAGATGATCCTGAATTCTCGAAAATGCATCCTGCAACTCGCTCTCCAAGTTTTGGAGACCTTGCGCCAGAGATGGTGAAGCCATTGCTGTTGGAAGGTAGCTGTAGCCTACTGCAGCTATTCAATTTCAAGCATGTGCAGTTGCTCTGGTTAAGCTTGTTAATTCCAACATAGAAAAACGATGTGACGGCAGCAGCAATGCTAATCAAACTTGACTGTGATGGGCTCTTGTGCAGTCATGCTCCTGGATAAACTGGGCACGAGCCAAGAAAGCCTTCATGATGGTGCGGGATGATGCTGAGGCCGCCATCTATGGCAAGTCTAGCAAGCAGTGATAAATCATTTGACCACCACCAGAACCAAGCTTCCCATGCATTCAACCAGCGGTTGCCTCCTGCCTCCTGAAGAAAACACAGGCTGAGCGCACATGTCTGATGGCCTCGAGATGCCTGCAGCCACAACCTGCAGCAACCCGCAAGCTAAACCGAAATTGAGATCAAACATATCCCTGAATCCATCTGAATTCCGAATCGTCGGAATGAGCAACCAGAGTAGCTAGAGACCTTTCCAGTCCTCGCAGTGCTGCAGTTGTAACGTTCACGAAATATGGCTGCAGCTCGGGGGCACGTACCCCGAGCTCTTCAGCCAAGATGACAGCACTAAGCGTGACCACGTCGGTTCGCAAAGCTTGGCTGCGAAAAAGATTGAACATGTGCAATGCTTCCGCCCACCGCTCACATACTACACATGCCCACAGGACGGCGTTGCAAGTAATCAAATTTGGCTCAATGCATGCATCATGCAGCTTGGCCAGAAGCACCAGGGCCGGTCGCCAACACGCACCCTTGGCGCAAGCGCTTATGGCAGTGGAAAAAGTGATGACATCGCCTTGCAGGTTGCTTCGCTCCAGTTTGGCAACGAGGCCTAGTGCATGGGTCCACCTCCCACTTTTCTCGCAAGCACTTATAGCGGCGTTGATGGCAACTTTGTCAGTCTGGAAGCTCTGCTCCTCAAACTGTGCCAAGAGGTCTAGTGCAAGTTGCCACTGCAAGCCCTTCTCGCAAGCACTGATTGTTGCACTAAAGGCAACCGCATTTGTGCTCAAGCGATTTCTGGGTAAACTCCGGAGTAGAGCTAGTGCCAGCTGCCACTGCTGCCCCTTCTCCTGGGTTGCTGTTAAGGGACTTTAATTAAGTTACTATATTGGGGAAACCCTATTATTTACTATATATATACCCATTATGGTAACTTAATTTAAGTTCCTTAACAGCAACCCAGTCTCGCAGGAACTGATTGCGGCGCTGTGTGCAACAATATCGGTTTGCATCACCTGCTGCCGGCTTTCGAAGAGAAGCAGTAGTGCATGCTCCCATTGACCGCGGCTAGCGCAAGCACTTATCGCAGCATTTCTGGAGATCAGATGCCCTTGCAGTCCTTTTGTATAAAGTAAAGCCAAGGCCAGATGCCATTGGCGCCCTCTGCAGGCGCTGATGCCAGCATTGTAGGCAATCAGGTCTGGCTTAGGCCCTGAAGACACTTCGCAACCTCGCAGAATGCTCAGAGCCTCGTGCCACTGTGCAGACCCCTCACAAGAACTGATGACCGAGCCATATGAGACAATGTCAGCAAACAGTTGGCGCACCTTCTGCTCCCTGAGCAAGGCCATGCTCTGCAGCCACTGCTCCCCAGCATCATGTGCGGCACCCGTCGCATTGTATGCAATCGTGTTGGGCCTCAACCGCCGAGCCCCAAAGCAACTGAGGATGCCTAGTGCCTGCTGCCAGCGAGCGGCAGACTCAAAAGACGAGATGCTGGCAACATGCGTAAAGGCATCGTGCACCTGCTGCGCCCCTGCAAGCTCTAGGAGAGTTAAGCCCTTAGACCACTCCGATTTGCAAGCGCTTGTCAAGGTGTTTATCATGACCAAGTCAGGCGCGGTGCGCGTCACAGCCGCCTCGATGAATTGATCAAGTGCGCGGCGCCAGGCAGCACTCTTGCTCAACGAATTGCAGGCGGAATTAAAAGTTATGGTGTTTCCAGGCTGATTTGTTGGCCGCATCTCTGCCTGCAATGCCAGTGCCTGCCTCCACAGTGCAGCTTGAGCAGAGATTGCAGAGTTGTACGTGACCACGTCAGGTTGCAGCTGCATCCGAGACAACTCTTCGAGTAGCAAGCGGCATCGCGCCCACTGCGACCCAGCCGTCCTGCCCAGACTTCCCATGGTTACGTTGTACATGATGAGGCTACCCTCCAACATGTCATCTTGGGCGTTGGAGAGAAAGCCTAAAGTTTGGGTCCACCGTGCCCCTCCAGCAGTGCGAAGAGCCTGCATTACGGCACCATACGCCACGACGTTTGGTTGGAGCAACTCCTCCTCTAAGCTACCAAGCAGCTGCCAAGCTCTTAGCCACCTCCCAGCGCAGCTGCTTATTGCCTGGGGTTACATAGGGATAATGGAAAATAACATGGAAGCTACTATATTATGATAGGTTTATATTGGGATAGTGGAAAATAAAACGGAAACTACTACTATCTCATGATATTATGGCCTGTGTGTAGGTGATCTCGTTTGCCTGCATTCGGAACACAGGGGCTTCCCGCACCTTCTGAACAGCTTCCAACCAGGTTGACATCCGTGGTGTGGAAGCGGTAGCATATCCAACAGAAGGGGAAGCTACATCAGCTGCAAGCATGATGGCGGGCTCTGTCGCAATGAATGTGTTGCGTTGTGTCTCGCTGGAATGCCTGGCGTGACTCCCTGCGTGGGCATCCCCTAGGTGGTTTTCGGCATTGGCAGAATTGCGAACTGCAACACTTTGAGCTGTGTACAGCAAGGAGCGCAATAGCTGAAGGGGAAAAACAGGCTGCCAAGGAATGACAGAAGCGCACAATGACTCACTGCGTAACTTCTGCAGAAACATGGATTCAAGTCCTTTTCTTTGATGTTGCGCATACCGGGTATGGCATCACTTGAATTGGCGACTTACCCTTTCGTTGCAGTCTCTTGCGTGCGAATTCGGAGCTTATTGCTTGTCAAAACCTTTCAGCCGAGCTCATTCCTACACCACCAAACTTCTCAACGCACGGCTCGAGAGAGCAAGATGCAAGGTCTCACAAGCTGGCAAACAACTGGAAATAACATGGAAACTGCTATATCATGATAGGGTTATACAGGGATACTGGAAAGTAAAATGGAAACTACTATATTATGATAGGGTTACATAGGGATAATGGAAAGTAAAATGGAAACTACTATATCATGATAGGGTTATATAGGGATAATGGAAAATAAAATGGAAACTACTATGTTATGATAGGGTTAAATTGGGAGAATGGAAAAGAAAACGGAAACATTCACATGCATCAGTCAGCTGGCTCATGTGAGCCATAGTCTAAACTCCTAGTATACCCCTTAGTACCCCTTATAGTAGTCCCATAAATAATCCCCTAATTCCCCTTTAAGGAGTTTAGACTATGGCTCATGTCAGTGACGCCCAGTCCCTAAACCCTAAACCCTAAACCCCTCAGGTCAGCGACGCCAGCGCAATCATTCCAAGGCTTTGTACATCGACTAAAACTGACGCTGCCAGATGTGGCCGCCCTGCAACAACACAAGCAGCCATGAGAGAGCTGCAGATGACAGTGTCCTGGGTTGCTGTTATGGAACTTAAGTTAAGTTACCATAATGGTGTATATATTCTAATTAATAGGGGTTTCCCCAATACACAGTAGTAACTTAAATTAAATTCCTCAAATCACTATCTTACCCCAGTTTCCATTTTATTTTCCATTTGATTCTCCATTATGGGGGATAATCTAGTAACTTAAATTAAGTTCCTTAACAGCAACCCAGTGTCTGGCTCCACTCTGCTATTCTTCAGCTCCTCCAGCAAGACAAAGATTGGCTCACAGCGTTTTGCACATAGACAAGCATCCACGGCTGTAGAATATGCCACAAGATCAGTACGAGACTCCTCAGGCCCCAAGTCTTGCAATAGAAACAGTGCTAAATCCCACTTGGCAGACCTTGCAGCAGCAGCTGTCCCAGCGCACTGTGTCAACACGCCAGGTGTCAGCCTCAGTTCCACCGCCTGGGTGACCAGCTGCACCGCACCCTTCCAAATGTGGCCTGTCTCACGCGCATTGAGTGCAGCGTTGAAGGTGGTGAGATTGGGCTGCATATTGCCATCTCGCATCCGCTGCAAGATATACCTTGGTAGCCCAGTAACCATATTACAATAAGGGTACCCTTTTTTCTGTTAGTAGATTATATAACCCAGAACCCAAAAAGGGTAAAAGGGTACCACTGGGATTCCTAGATACAAAGCCTCCTTCCAGCGCTGTTGACTTCCACAAGCGTCCATGACTTCGTTCTGTGCCGCCACAGTCATCTGCAAATTGTAATCTTCCAGCTGCAAGAGCAAAACTAGAGCGGGCTCCCACTGGGAACCCCTCTCGCAAGATCTTGTCGTCGCATTATAGGAAATGATGACGTCTGCAGGCTCCCCTGCATACTCAGGGCGCAACAAAACCACCCCTGGTCCTTACAGGAAGAATAGGTAACATTAGATTTTCAGGCTGTCTCACCAGGAGGGGTTGGCCTGATACTTGACTTGAAGCCTGCTACCTTGTTATGGAAATTGCTCACACTATTTAATCAAGTATCCTTTTTTTTTGCCGTCGGTAGGCCTTGGGACAGCAGATATGCGCTGATGGAGATGGCAAACATCTTGCCAAGTAAGCCGATTGCTGAAGGCCACTCGCAACCCTTCTCGCATGCACTTATGAGGGAGTTGCAAGTGATTGCATTTGGAAGCACGGCCCTTCTCGCCATCAGTCCTGTAGTGCTCAAAGCATGTCCCCACCGGGCTTCTTCTGCAAATGAATTCAGAGCTGTCCCAAAGGTGACCACATTTTCCTGGGTTGCTGTTAAGGAACTTAAATTAAGATACCATAATTGGTATATATAGTAATTAATAGGGTTTCCCCAATATAGTAACTTAAATTAAGTTCCTTAACAGCAACCCAGTTTCTTGCAACCCAGGCTTGTCCAGCAAGATGTGCGCAGCGACCAGCCATTGCATGGACTGGGCGGACATTGTCTGAATGGACGAAAAAGTTACCTCATCGGGCTGCAAGCTCGCCACATGCATGGTGCCCAGCAGTGCGATGCTGCCTTGCCACCGACCACCTTCATCAGAAGCTGCCACCAAGGCATTGAGAGTCCGAACATTTGGAGCCAGGCCCGCTTGCGATGTATGTCGGAACAACTGCTGGGCAAGCTCCCAGCGGTTTGCTGTGTTCGCTGCAGCGATGCATGCATTGTAGGTGATCACATCCTTTCTGACTTGTGCCATCTCACCCATCTCACCAAGAACCTGCAGCGCCAATCGCCAGCCAGAATTAGCCGTTTTAGACTCTTGCCTGTCTGCGGAGCTACTGATCGCCGTATTGCAGGTGAGCACATTTAAGCGTATGTGCCTGTTCTGCAGCCGCCTTAAGAGGACCGTCCCCTGCACCCACTGCCTTCCAGAGCAAGCAGCTAGAGCAGAGCTGTGAGAGATGATATCTGACTGCAGACAGGTGGAAGACATACCTCCCAGCAGGACCGCAGCGTCCTTCCAACGCCGGCAAGCTGCGCACGCACTGAGTATGGAGTTAGCTGTGATGGTATCTGGAGAGATGGCGAGCTGTTTCTGCAATTCGAATACATTTTGCGCTCGCTGCCAGGTTGCTGCTTTGTTGCATCCGTTTAGGGCAGTATTGCAAGAGAAAACATCCTGCTGCAAGGCCACTGTTGTCATACCTTCTAGCAGATTCAAACCATGTTGCCAAAGGCCTAGATCGCACATCCCAAGTACACTGTTGTAAGTGATGCCATCGGACTGGATACCGCTTGACGAGATGTCTGCAAACAGAAAGCTTGCTTGCTTCCATTTCCGGCAGCTGATGCAAGAGGCGATTGCAGCGTTCATGATGAAGACATTGGCACCTACTGCTGAATCGTTCAAGCTCACCAAATGAGACAGGGCTTCCTGCCACTGCTCTCCACTTCGGCAAGCGCTGATCAACTTGCAACATCTCTTCAGCCTGCTTAGCGTGTCTGTCGGCTGCATCCTCCCAAATTTCCTGGAGGTCCAGAGTGGGCTCGCCCATCAGCGCAGGCACCCCGCAAAATGCCATGTCAGCCTCTGAAAGTGGCTTGATAAAGCAAATGGCTGCCACGTGGAAATGAGTCATGTTCCCAGTCCACTGTCATGCTTGCAGAATTTCTTGCATCGCTCAAATCTCATGCCAAGGCAAGGGTTGCTCTAACACTCTCTAGAAGGCTCCATTCAGGCATCCAAATGACCCAATTTACAAGGGAAGCTGATCTTCAAGCCTTGCAGTCACAAAGGTAAGAAACTCTTCAATCCCGTTTTTGGACGCAGCCACGCATACAAGGTAAGAAACTCTTCAATCCCGTTTTTGGACGCAGCCACGCATACAGTCTCTTAGCCTATGCCTAGCGCAGTATACACACAATCCTCATCACCGCCATCAATGAGCAGGGACAGCAGATCGAGTGTATGTGATCGTGTCTGCTGATGTCTGGCGTACGGCATGCGATTGCATCGGAGCTGCCAGCTTCCTCCTCCCAGTCACAACTCCAAGACGTCGGAGAGTAACAAATCAGACCGGGATTCTTCATGGCAGGCGTGCCAGGTGACTGAATTGATGCAAGCCAAGTGCAGCTTTGAGCCGGCTGTTGGCGATGCCAGCATTACCACGAAAGTCACAGATTCACTGAAAGTAGAATGCATGCAACGTAGCTTCAACCAGCATGACATGGTGTGACCAAATGACCAGCGCCTTTGTGTGTCATGCTATACCTTGTAATAAGTCCCCACAGTCCCGCACCCAGAGTCTGTTATACAACCAACACTAGCTTCTGACAACCCCTCAACCAGGCCAAGCCAAGCGACTTCCTCGACCTCTCCAAAGGCTGACAAAAACTGCGACAGCTCCTGAGTGTCCTTCTCAAACGGCAAGGGGTCGATGAAGACCTTGACATCTTCGAAGCACATCAACGCGTAGTACCAGACTATATGTACATAATTAAGAAATTGGAGCTTGCATATATAACCCCAAGATAACCCCAATACAACCCCAATACAACCCCTATACAGCCCCAATATAACCCCTATACAACCCCTATATATCCCCTGTAATGGCCCTGTACAACCCTTATGTAACCCTATCTTCCAAGCAGGAGTGGCTGGCCTCCTTGTCCGTCGGCATGGCCGGGACGTCTGGGCGATTCATGGCAATCTCATCGAGGTACAGGCAGAAATCCTGTGGAGGCGAAACCTGGTCGTAAGCCAAGTGAGAGTTCCACGAGCTTCATATATCATAGTATATTATGGTATATTATAGTATAGTATGGCATATTATGGCATATTATAGTATATCATAGTAAAATTATGGTGTATTATGGTGAATTATACTATATAGTATCTGGTGTCACCATAACCGCGCCATCTGAGGGGTACACGAAATCATCTCGCTCCTTGCAAAAGGCATCATCAAGCCAGATATTCATTGAATATAAACATATTTTTTCCCTTAGATAACCCCGAACATGTACTACACAATATACCATAATATACCATGATATGTTATAATATGCTACTATAATATACCATAATATACCATCATATATTATAGTATACTACTACAATATATTATAATATACCATGATACATTGCAGTATACTACTATAATATACCATAATATACCATGATGTATTATAGTATACTACTATACTATACCATATACCATAATATTCTCAAACTGTTGCAGGCTTGGCTCTGGCGGATGGATCCGCCAGCAGTCTATCTTGTCACAGGCTGCGCCCCAATGACCTCGCCACAAACAGACAAACATCAGAATTACTTTTACTACGATTATTGCCAGTATTACTATTACGTTTATTCTTATTACTATTGCCATTTTTTACGAGTACTACTATACCTACTATCTTACTGCCATTGCTATTGTTACTATCAGCCTGTTACTCCATCCAGCGGCCAGCGCATGACATGTTAAAACCAGGCTGCACATGGCTTTCATAGGGTTGTCGTCAATGGTGCGGCCATTCGGGTGCAAGTACCTGACAGGCCGGTTCCGTGATATGTGCTGAATCCTGATGATATGAACTATAGGCGGCTAGACTGGCTAAAGGGGGTTATATAGGGTGTATAGGGGGTGGTATAGGGGTTTTAACTGGGATACTAAGAGTTTAGACTTTCGCTCATATGAACCGCGGGTCTATCCAATATCTTGACATCGAAATGTAGGCTGGCAAGCCACCCAGTCGGACACACATAGACACACATGCCAATACACATGTGGCTTGCAAAGGGGAAAGCTAGCAAACGCTTGTAAGTGCCCGGCCAACATCCTGCACGCTGACATGCCTGTCCGAACTTGCATATCTCGTTTCGGCCTGCAGAAGCCAGGGATGGGGGTAGCTTGGCTCTGCAATCAGAGATGGTAGTTTCCCAAAATACGGGGACCCAAAAATAGACCCCAATATACTACAGTCCTTATTATAGGGATAATTTGGGAAATCCCCAGATGCAGCGGGGGGCAGATTCGGCCTGGAACTGGCTGCAGAGCCTGGACAATGGCATCGGACACCACCTTGGGTAGAAGGGAAACCCAGACCCCCTGAAGGATCCGAAAAATGACCCCCCCCAATATCAACCCATTACTACATGGGGAAACTAGGATATTATATGGAATTATTAGGGGGTTCCATGTTTTGGATTCTTTAGAGGGTCTGAGAACAAACAGACTCAGCCACAACATCCAATGTGGCTTCTGCCCACTTACGTTTGTTCGGCGGTTGTCCTCACGTTCTCTTGCAACACTCATGGTGCTTGTCCAAGTAGCAGGAAGCCGCGGAGGTGGAAAGGGCTTCGGCTGCGGAGTCCTTATTCTTGAACACTCAGCACTAGATGAAAAATGCAACATAACAAGTGCAGCCACAGCAGCAGCAACAGCAGCAGCAGCAGCAGCAACCACAACGACAGCGGCAACAGCAACCGCAACAACAGCAAAGGCAACAGCAAAGGTAGCCACAACCACAACCACGAGGACGACGAGGACAACGACGGCGCCGCCGCCGCCGCCACCGCCACCACCACCAACTACAAGAACAACAACCACGACAACCACACCACCACCACGACAACCAAGACGACGACGACGAAACAAGAACAGCAACAGCAAAAGCGACATCGCGACAGCGACAACGACAGCAGCAGCAGCAGCAGCAGCAGCAGCAACAACAACAACAACAACAACAACAACGGCAACGGCAACGGCAACCGCAACAGCAGCAACAACTGCACAACAACGACGACGACGACGACGACGAC